TGACTCCTTCTACTCCTGTTGGGTCTTTTGGCAGGATGATGTCAAATCCACAGCCGAGGGGCTGCCTAGCTACAAGCCGCCTCCTCCCCCACCACCTCTGGCCCAGCCGAGGAAGCCTGGAAGCCAGGACCAAAAGCCAGCTTCCTCGGCATCCTCCCGCTCGGGCATCGTCTTCTCAGCTCCGCAGAACCGCAGCCCTCCGGCAGGCACCGCACCAGCCCCACAGGCCCCCTCAGCACAGGACGCACCCTCCTCCCCCATCTACGCCTCCGTTTCCCCTGCCAACCCCGGCGCCAAGAGGCCACTGGATGCCCACCTGGCCCTGGTCAACCAGCACCCCATTGGCCCCTTCCCACGGGTCCAGTCACCCCCGCACCTAAAAAGTCCCCCTGCTGAGGCCATGCTTGCTGGGGGCTGCCTCCCACCACCTTCCCCCTCTGGGCGCCCAGACCAGACAGGCACAAACCAGCACTTTGTCATGGTGGAGGTGCACCGTCCAGACAGCGAGCCTGACGTGAATGAAGTGAGGGCGCTGCCCCAGACACGCAGTGAGTACCAGCAGACATGGTGGGGCTGGGCCCGGGTGCTCCTGTGTGATCTGTGGGGGGTGGGGCGTCCTCTCTGGGTTGATCTGCCCACCAGCACAGTGAAGGTGGAAACAGGTGCTCACCCAGCAAGGGGGTCTTCTAGCCCAGGTGTTCCCCCTTCAGGGTCAGGGTGGCTGGGCAACAGGGTCCTGAGCCCACATTGAGGGGATTTGGGAGTCAGAGACTCGAGTGTGAGTCCTGGCTTTGCCTCTGTGTGTATTCACTGTGTGACTGTGGGCTGGCTGTTGTGCCTCTCTGAGCTGCCTTTCCATCCTAGAATGGAGGTGACAGTGACAGCCCCGCCAGGCTGCTGTGAGGGTTGGCTCCTCCTGAGCGCCCAGCCCCAGTCCCCTTGCATTCACTTACCAGTCTTCCCAATAAGACTGAGCTTGTTGAGGGCAGGGGTGGCTTCCGTGATCTCTGTCCACCAGGGCTTGGTACAGAGAAGGAACTGGGGGAAAGGTGGGCCCCTGGGGGTCTCCTGACTTGGGGCTGCAGGGTCAGGTGCAGAATAGACCTACCAGGAACCCAGGAAGACAGGCCAAGGCTGCAGTCCCGGAGTTTCCAGGGGGTATCCAGCTGAAGAGGTGGAGGGAACGGCAGAGCCTGCTTTCACTCTGGGAAGCCTGAGCCCTGGGCAGGCTCTGGATCTCCTCCCAGCTGAGTGGGGTGCATTTTGTTGGATTCTGCTGCCATCTTGTGGCTAAAGTGATATGTGGGGCCCCACTGTGGCCAGGGAAGGTGGCAGATGGTCAGAGGACAAGTACTGAGTGTCTGCTGTGTGCCGTGCAGTGGGCAGACTAGGATGGATGCAGAATGCAGAGTCCCCGCGCTCTGTGGCTCCGAGAGGGAATACAGCTAACGGAGAGCAGGTGGGAGGTGGTGAGAAACCCGAGCTGTCAGATGGATCACTGCTGCTCCAGACCTGGCACTGAGCTGACACACATGATAATAAGAGTTAACAGTGCATTATACAGCACTGTCTGTGTGCTGGATGGACATTGTTCTGGGGATGATGCCTATATTAGCAGCTCACCTAATCCCCCACAACAGTCTTGGTACTGAGGCTGGTACTGTTATTATCCCTATTTTATAGATGAAGAGGCACAGAACGTAATTGGGGAGCCTCCTCCAGGAAGCCCTCCCTGACCCCAGCTGTATAAATCATACTCTCCTGTATCCCCTCCCAGCAGCCTCCACACTGTCACAGCTCTCGGATAGTGGGCAGACTCTGAGCGAGGACAGTGGTGTGGATGCCGGCGAGGTAGAGGCCAGCGCCCCTGGCCGAGGCAGACAGATGGCGTCCACCAAGAGCAGAAGCAGCAAGGAGCCACCTCGGAACGAGAGGAGCACAGAGGGGGCCAACAAACCAGTGAGTGAGGAAGAGGGGATCACAGAGGGTCCTCGAGGGGAGGGCAGGCCCCGGGTGAAGGACAAGAAGTCCCTGACCAGGGTTCAGCTTGATGAGTGACCACAGGGGACTGAGAGAGCCCCTCACTGGAGGGATGTGGGTACCGGAAAGGGTATCAGGCTGGAGGTCCAATTCAAGTCTTGCCTTCATTGTGACACTGACAAGCTGAGCACAGAAGGTTGGTCTTGAAAATCTAAAAGCTCAGTTCTGACATGCCATGGTGGCTGAGGCAGCCTGGCCTGGATTCAAGTCCTGGTGCCACCACCAGGCAGCCTTGGGCTGCCCCTTAACTTCCCGAGCCTCAGGGATTTTTGTAGCAATTAGGAGTTGAGAACACCAAGTGCTTAGATTACTGCCTGGCATACTGGAGGCTCCCAACATGGGCTGGCATCTGAGCCCTGCTGACCTAAAGGTATGCCGTGCCCAGGCCTATCCACTGAGAAGGCCTTGTCATTCATCTCCTTCATATCTGCAGCCTGGACTCCTGGAGCCCACATCCACCCTGGTCCGAGTGAAGAAAAGCGCGGCCACCCTGGGCATCGCCATCGAGGGTGGCGCCAATACCCGCCAGCCCCTGCCTAGGATTGTCACAATTCAGGTAATTCCTCAGGGGCCCTGCTTGACTATCTCTCTCTGCCCCTGGAAGGTTGTTTCCCAGCATCCCAGGGTTGTTTCTCACCACCCCAGAGGTGATCTGACACCCAAGGGCAGACCCAGGCTCATACGGCCTTTGCTGTCCCTGAGCCTCAGTTTCCTAATCAAGGCAGCGGACACCCAGATTGTAGCTGCCTAGTTGGCAAGGTCAGGCCTGACCCAGTGGGTGGTCAAAGCCAGGCCAGCCCAGTCCTCAGATGCCCTACGTGCCTCTGCCCTGTGTCTTGCCCCTGCAGCGAGGAGGCTCCGCCCACAACTGTGGGCAGCTCAAGGTGGGCCACGTGATCCTGGAAGTGAACGGGCTGACGCTTAGGGGCAAGGAGCATCGGGAAGCTGCGCGCATCATCGCAGAGGCCTTCAAGACCAAGGAGTGTGACTACATCGACTTTCTGGTCACCGAGTTCAATGTGATGCTCTAGGGGCCGAGGCCTGAGGGCCTCCCACCGCTGTCCAGCCCGTGGCCCAGGTCCCTCTTCCCCCCTGGCACTGTTAAGCTCCTAGTGGGGCCAGGGCTGCATGGCCGGGGTAGCAGGAAGACACCCCCTACTCCTTCCTGGCCCACTGAACCAGAAGCGGGAGAAGAGAGCCAGGCAAAGCAAACAGAAGGCCAGGTCAGGATCTGGTGCCATGCCCGGTACACAGTTGGCACTCTCTACAAGTGTGGGTTTCAGGAAGAGGAAGGGGAGAGTGCCTGTGTCCTGGCAGTCCACCTGAGGCCTGCCAGGGCCTGTTCCTCTGGGTTGACTGGGGGGGGCACTGTGCCCCCTGGCCAGCTAGGACCTGGCCCATCCCCAGATGCCTCAGCCTTGGTCTCTAGAGTGAGGTCACATGAAAATTCATGGACACGGCCCCGAGCCAGAGGGGCATCTTGCAGGACCTTTAGTGCCACAAATAAGCATAAAGCACCCCCCACCCCATTTATACCCCCATTCCTCCTAGTTCCTTGTCCCCCATGGTATTTATTATTTATTTCCCTCTGCACATCCCTGGGGACCCAATACCCCAGCTTTCCACTGCATCCCAGCCTATCCCAGAGGCCTTGCCGGTGACCAGCAACGTCAGTGTATTTATATACAGAGCTTATGACTTTAATTTTTCAATAAAGAAATCTGAACAAGGTTAGGGTCCAGTGTGCTGTGTGGCCTGCCTGTGTGGCTGGGGTCTTAATTGCTCAATATGGAAAGGGGGGTAGGATAAATGGAGGCACCCAGAGCACCGGACCTCACCACCCTCTCCCCTTCCCCCCCATTGGAACTGCAAGGGCCTTGAACCACACCCGCATCTTGGAACACCTGCCTGAAGGTTACTTACAGATAATACTTTTAGATTAAAAGGCACAGGTATGTCATGGGGCAGAGTACACAATGTGCGTGGATGTTTTAACAGAGAGGTGGCCCACCTTATGGTGGGTCCCAGAAACTGACTCTGAGATGAGGGCTTGTATGAAGTGATTCATTAAGAAAGGGTGGGGCAGTAAAGGAGTAGGGGGTCAGGAGGGGAAGAGGAGGAAGCCAAGCAGGGTGGGATTTCAGGTGTAGTCTTGGGAGGGTGGCTGCAGCCTGATCCCACAGGGGACACCAGAGTGTAAGTTCTCACCACTCAGAGCCAGGGGAGAGGGCTTTCACGCCCTCAGTCTTTGGACAGGGCCTGGGGGAGACAGTAAATTCCCAATCATATCTCACCCTCTACCTGTGCAGGCCACACGCTGTTCCAGAAGCCAGGGGCAGTGGGTGTTAGAAGTAAAAATATATTGAGGGCAAGGAGGGGAGAGTGGGGCTCCCCAGCTCCAGTGACCATTTCCTTCATCCCCAGGGTTCCTCTGGGGCAAGAAGAGGTTGAGAAGTTCTGCTTTGTCCAGCCCTGTATCCAGCAGTCTGCCAGAATGGATTAGAGGCAGTTGATACCAGAGACCAGCACCAGCTTCTGCTCTTAGCTGCCCCTGTCCTCTCCCCAGGGCCAAGGAGATCACCTGAGACCAGAGCCCTGGATTCCACTTGACCTCTGAAGCAGCCTATCCCTGAAGGTCCTAGCCCCTCCCCAGTCCTAACACCCCTGCAGGAAGAACCCTTACCTGACTGCAGGAGAGCTTTGTCAGGCCCAGGTCTCCTGGCCCCAGATCTCCTAAATCCTGTGTGGTCAAGGGCAAGTGATTACACCTTTCTTAGCGCAGTTTCCCATCTGGGAAATGGGTGTGGTAGGCTGAATAATGGCCCCTAAAGGTATTCAGATTCCTGGAACCTGTGAATTGTTACCTTATATGGCAAAGGGACTTTGCAGATGTGATTCAGGCATTCAGATGGGAAGGTTATCCTGGACTATTTGGGTGGCCCAATCTAATCACAAAGTCTTTGAAAAAGGGAGGCGGAGGGAGATTTGACACCAAAGAAGAAAAGGTGTTGTGATGATGGAAGTAGAAGTTGGAGTGATGCACTTTGAAGATGGAAGAAGGGACCATGAGCCCAGGAATACAGGTGGCCACTGGAAGCTGAAAAAGGCCAGGAAGTAGATTCTCCCTCAGAGGCCGCAGAAAGAACCTGCCCTGGTGACACCTTGACTGATTTTGGACTGCTGATTTCTTTTTGTAAGAGAACAAATTAGTGTTGTTTTAAGCCATGAACTGGTGGTAATAGCAGCCACAGGAAACCAATGCATGGGGATACTGCTGCTTGACTGTGATGGAGGTTGGGATGCTGTGTGTGGACCATGGTATCAGGCTCAGAGTCAGCCCCAGGGAGATAACTGCAGTCAGGATGATGGTGAACGAAGAAAGGGGCTCTCTGATCTTATAAATGCCACACTTTTTCCAGGGGACAGAGAGCCCACAGCAGCTGCCGCCCGCAGCCCCAAGTTTGTACTCTGAAAAAAGTAAGACAAGAGTGAGTTTCTAGAACTGTTGCTTCTGAAATTACTAGGCCTGACTCTGGGGCTATGGAATTTTTTTTTTTTTTAATGTATCTTTATTGATTTCAGAAAGAGGGAGAGGGAAGGAGAGAGAGATAGAAACATCAATGATGAGAGTCACTGATTGGCTGCCCCCTGCACGCCCCCCACTGGGGATCAAGCCCGCAACCCCCGGCACGTGCCCTGACCAGGAATCAAACCTGGGTCTCCTGGATCTTAGGTCAATGCTCAACCTCTGAGCCACGCCCAGCCAGGAGGGGCTATGGAATTTTAAACCTAAAAATTTCCTTTGCAAATGAGCTCAGAAAGGTCAAATTGCTTGCCTGGAGTTACATCGTTAGTCAGTGGTATAGGACAAATTTAGACGGATGGCTGCCTGGCATCAACAAGATGAAGCCCCAGGACAAGCATGTCATGTTGTCTTTTGAAAGGACCCAATACCATGGGCTAAGGCAGCTTTGAATATTGTGAGAGGGGGCCAGAGGTCCACCTGGCCACAAGTGGACCTGTGGCCCTAACATCTTTACTTATGACGCCAGAGCTGGAGGGGGAGGTACGGCTAGAGAACCTCAGAGTGTGTTGCTAGAAGACAAAGGCAGCAAGTTTTTGGTTTGAGGTGGGGCCTGCCCAAGCAAGTGCCAAGTTGGCCTTCAAATCACCTGGAGCCCTCTCTGTTTGGGAGAAAGCAGGGTGGGGGTTGGAGTGACCCAGTGTGAGGAGTACAGGACGGAGAACAAGGCACAGCTCAAAGAGTCCACACCTTAGTGTCTAAAACCTGGCATCAATGTCCACCTCCACCACTTCCTGCCTGTGTAACCCTGCACAAGTCACTTAACCTGAGCCTCAGTTTCCTCATCTTTAAGTGGGGAGCATAATACTAACCTAACTTGTGAATAATTGTAAATTTGCTAACAATTTCCCCCTCTGGGACAGAGGCCTTTAGTGAATAGAAGCTGCTACTATAATTACCATTAGATATGTGTGTAGGGAGTCACTGGCCACCTGGTGGGACTGGAAAGAACTGGGCTGCAACACAGCTGGATGCAGGACCTTGGGAAAGTCACTTCTTATGTCCAGGCCCATTAATCTCCCGGGCAAAGTAGGAATCTTCGTGGAATTCTTTAAATTAGTTCCATTGTTTTATTTCTTATAGGCCTGGTGCCATGTTTATTTAATTACTCCCCTCAGCAACGCTGGGAGGCAGGAGTTACAAATCCCATTTACCTGAAGCTCGGTGGCAGCCGGTGGCAGAACCGGGGCAAGAGCCTGGGCCGGTTGGACACCCTACACAGCCATTCTTCAGGGTGCGCTGGCCGTGGACAGTGGGTGGTTTCTGCCCTGTATCCCCTGCGGGACCCTGGGCACGATCTTGTTGCTTCTCTGCAGGACTGCCCCCCCCCCCC